CAGTCAACAGCATCTGGTCAGAGCCAGCAGTCAGCCCTCACATATCAAACGGATGACTCATCCCAGCCCTCAAAGCGAATTCGGCAAGTCCATGGAAGCGGAGTTTCTCTTGTCGCAGATCCTAACAGCATTCGACTTCGTGCAATTTGTGATCAGATTCCTGGTACTCATGCTGATCGTGTAGGGTGGCAGCTCAGTGCGGACCAGACTTACGTCTTTCGAGTTAAACCCTTGCAAGATTCGTACGAGCATTTTGAGAATCGATCTCTTCTCAAAGGGCATGTGGAAGTTGAGTGGGAGCAAGATTCAAACTTCTTCGTGATTCCTGAACTTCGTGGGTTGGAAGTGCGTGATGAAGAAGCGAAGCTGATACAAGTGTACTCAGCCAGCTTCAATTGGGTCGCATTATACCCCATGCTTACTGCTCTACGTCACTTGATCAGTTCCAGCCCTGGCCGTATGAAATCGGCATGTGAGATTTCGAGAAAGATACAGGCCAATCTTGAGTTGCAGGTCCCCAGCTCTTTGATGCAAAGCACTGCGGACTATCTGATGAGCCTGTTAGGTCTTCCTTCCCAGTCTGTCAACTCGACGGCATTGAAGTATGTCTCTCAGGCAATTGCTGCAGCCGACCAAGCTGCAAACATTCACTCTGTTGAGCTTCGTTCTTTGTCGAGTTCGTGCAAGTGCTTGAGCATCCACTTCACCCACTTTGAGAGGACCATGGTCAGGTCGCATACTTCTGCAGCAGGGATTGCTCGTTCGCCTGTTGCACACAACACAACAGTGGCCGGGGCTGCCTCTATCCTCCTTGAGGGAACGATTCGACCATCGTATTGGGATGCTCGTGACAGCATGTGGTCCCCACCAGTTTCCTTCTATGCTAGGGCTCATACTTCAGATGCAGAACAAGCACAAGAGGCAGCGTCCAAGTACGGTGGCATTCTGAGTGAGCGTCCGGTGTGCATTTTCGGATCTGCATTTAATCGTCAAGGGTCCCTCACGCCTCCCCATTCAAGGATCCCCATGGGAGGAGTTGAGGGTGACCATTCCTGCAGTTACATTCGTGACGTTGCCCGTGCCAAAGATGGCAGATGGGTCTTTCGCTCCTCATGTTTCATCCCGGAAGTGCTTCTTGTCTTTTGGAAGGTCTGAGTGCCGTATGCTGCTTTGACCAGCCACGTTCTCAAGTCTCTTCCGTTGTCAATTGCTATGTACGCATACACGTGTCGAAAACATGCCAGTTAAGATTGTGAGATGTGCCAGCAAGAGATATGCAAGTGTGCTGCAAGTGAAGTGTCAGCGGTAGTGCAAGGGTGTGCGTCAGAGGTGCAAGAGAGGAGCAAGTGTGGTGCAAGAGTTGTGCAAGCGATGTGCAAGTGCTGCAGTTTGAGAACAACTTGAGCAGGTTTGTTCAACTACGGAGCTCTTTGATTCGAAGTGTCCTTAGCGATCCCGTGGACTTAGCTTTGTCGCTAGTTCTGAAACCATGGCATGGAATGGACAGTGGGACACCAACACAGGGTACGGGAGATCCCAACAATCGTGGGGTCAGCATCGCTATCAGCCGTATAGCTCGGGAAGTTGGAATGATCCCAACCTTTCAAATTCTGCTCCTGCTAGTCAGCCACCTCCCCTACCTCCGCCTCCACTTTCTTCGGCACCTTCATCATCGCCGTCTACTCCCATGCCACTTCATCAAGGACCTGGTCTTGCTCCTGCACTACCGAATGGATGGGCGTCAGATCGCGATCATTATGACTCAACGGTGCTTCATGGGTTGTCTTTTCGTAAGTACATCGAAGCCACCCCGTGGTCGCGAAAGAAAGGGATCGCAGGAAAAGATCCACTCAGCATTCCTGTTCAGGAATTCCTGTTCCATGGAGTTTCAGATTGGCGTCTTCGAGCATTAAGTCATGGCAAGTTTTTCAGTGTTGTGCCAGTTGCTACAGTTGCTGAAGCAGTGTTCATGTCGCAAGTGACGAAGAACCTTCGGGATCGCAAAGTTGACATTGATGCAGTTGCTACGCAACTTTTTCAGGCCGCTAATCCATCTACAATCATTCCCAATAAGAACACAGATTGTGCAGTCCTGTTTTTCAGCCGCTGGTTGACAAGATCGTTCAGCTCATGTTTGACAACATGCCGGTGCCCACAGGCGTTGACCAATCTCAGAAGTTCCTTCAAGTTTCGGAAGAGCTCAATCGCCGTCGTGAACAGTTGCAAGCCGCAGGACTTCCTGTTACCCCTACGAAATCCGCTTCGAAAACACAGCTCCCGGTTGCTTCGCAATCTAGTGCTCCTTGTCTACAATCCGGGACACCACCGAAGACTTGGGAGAGTGACCTCAAGAGTAAGATCGACAGTG